GCCGAATGGCTGCTTCGATCTTGGGCTGGGTGTGGGCCCTCATTTGTTCCTTCTTACCTCAATCCGCCGTGTTCTCAGGGATGACAGTCAAAGCGAGGAGATACGCGAGAGCGAGCACACTGAGACCCAAAACACTTTGGTTTAGATGTCGTTTCTTCATCCTTTGAGATCTCAAATCCCTCCTCCCACAAAAATTCTTCCTCAAAACAAGGCACGCACTGCCCACAGGCACAACTGTGTCCCTGGGGCATCTACTGCTTACAAAGGCTTCCACAGCGCTCACCTCACTGGGGTTTTTCTTTTTAAGTGGAATGCTGTTTCTTCATGATTCAGTCTTGGCAGGTTATAAATTTCTAGGAATGTATCCTTTTCTTCTAGGTTATTCAGATGTTGGCATATAATTATTCATAGTGGTCTCTTAGATTGTTTTAATTTCTGTGGCATCAGTTGGAATGTCTCCTGTTTCATTTCTGATTTTATGAAGTCTTCATAGATCTACAGCTAATTTTGAGATTGAATCAGTAATGAAAACCCCCCCAATAAAGAAAAATCCAGGACTGATGGCTTCACTGGTGAGTCTACCAAACATTTAAAGAGGCATTAATGTCAACCTTCTCAAAATCTTCCCAAAAAAATTGAAGAGGAAATACTTCCAAACTCATTCTGTGAGGCCCTCAGTACTCTGATACCAAAGCCAGACAAAGCCTCTACAAGAAAACTACAAACGAGTATCTGTTATGAATATAGATGCAAAAATCCTGAACAAAATACTAGCAAACTAAACCCAACAGCACACTAAAAAAATCATACACCATGACCGAGTGGTATTTACTCCCTGGAATGCAAAGATGGTTGAACAAATGAAAATCAATTACAGCTGACCTTTGAATAACACGGGGGTTAGGGGCACTGACCCTGTAGTGCAGTAAAGAATCTATACATCACTTTTGACTCTCCAGAAACTTAACTAATGGCCTGCTGTTGACCAGAAGCCTTACCAATAACATGTAATTAACATGTATTTTGTGTGTTACATGTATCATATGCTTTCTTATAATAAAGTAGGCTACAGAAAAGAAAATGTTATTTCAAAATATCATGAATCTCCAAAAAAATTTCTAATACACTTATTGAAAAAAGTCTGCATATAAGTGGATCCACACAACCCAAACCAATGTTCTTCAAGGGTCAACTGTAATGTGATTCACCACATGAACAGAATAAAGGATAAAATCACACAATCATCTCAATAGATGCAGAAAAAGTGTTTGGCAAAATTCAACACCCTTTCATGATAAAAAAAAAAAACTATCAACAAACTAGAAATAGAGGGAAATACCTCAACATAATAAAGGCCATATGAGAAAAGCCCCAAATTAACATCATATTCAATAAAAAAAAGTTGAAAGCTTTTCCTCTAAGGTCAGAAACAAGACAAGGATGCCCCATTTGCCACTATTATTCAACATAGTACTGGAAGTCCTGACCAGAGCAATTAGCAAAAGGCATCCAAATTGGAAAGGAAGTAATAAAATCATCCCTGTCTTCAGACATGATCTTATTGAAAATTCTAAAGACTCCACCAAAAAAAGCTATTAAAACTAACAAATTCAGTAAAGTTGCAGGATACAAAAGAACCATGCAAAATCAGTAGCATTTCTATACACTAGCAACAAACTACCTGAAAAGGAAATTAGGAAAACAATCCCATTTACAACAGTACCCAAAAGAATAAAATACTTACGAATAAGCGTAACTAAGGTGAAAGACTTGTTATGTTGAAAACTACAAAAACATTGGTCAAAGAAATTAAGACACCAATGGAAAGACATCCCATGTTCATGGACCAGAAGACAGTATTGTTAAAATGTCCACACTACCCAAAGTCATCTAAAGATTCAATGCAATCCCTGTCAAAATCCCAATGGTATTTTTCACAGAAAAAGAACAATTCTAAAACTCACATGGAACCACAAAAGACCACAAATAGCCAAATCAATCATGGGAATGAAGAACAAAGCTGCAGGCATCACACTTCCTGATTTCAAAATATTGTACAAGTGACAGTAATCAAAACAGTATAATACTGGCATAAAGACCAACTTATAGGCCCACAGAGAAGAACAGACAGCCCAGAAATAAACCCATGCATATATCGTCAAGTGATCTTCAGCAGGGGTGCCAAAAATACACAATAAGGAAAGGACAGTTTTTTCAACAGGTGGTGTTGGGAAAAATCGATATCCACGTATAAACGAGCGACATTTGGACCCTTACTTTACAGAATATAAAAAAATCAATGCAAAATGGATTAAACATAAGACCTGAAACTGTAAAATCCTAGCAGAACACTTAAGGGAAAGCTTATGGTCACACAGAAACCCGCACAGGGATGTTATAGTCCTATCAGCTTTATTCATAACAGCCAGAACTTGGAAGCAACCAAGATGCCCTTAGGTAGGTGACTGGATAAGTAAACCGGCACATCCAGACAACAGAATGCTATTTGGCACTAAAAAGAAATCAGGTATCAAGCCACAAAAAGACATGGAGGAACCTAACGCATATTACTAAGTGAAAGGGGCCAATCTGAAGGGCTACACACTGTATGAGTCCAATGAGATGACTCTAGACAAGGCAACACCGCGGACGCCATGGAAAGATCAGTGGTTGCCAGGCGGGGTGAAGGGGAGGGATGAGTACATGGTACACAGAAGATGTTCAGGGCAGTAGAAATACCCTGTAAGCTATTATAATGATGGATACATGCCTTACACATTTGTCCAACAGAAAGCACACCACCGAGAGTGAGCCCTCACACACCAGAGGCTCTGGGTGACCACGATGTTCAGGGCAGGTTCCTCGGTTGTGACCACTGTCCCGTCGGGTGCAGAATGTTGCAGTGGGGAAGGCTGTGCACGAGCAGGGAAAGGGGCACGTGGACATTCTCTGTACCTGCCCCTCAATTTTGCTGTGAATCTAAAACTTCTTTAAAAAAAAAATTTTTTTTTTTTAAGAAAAGGACAAAGGAACCATAAGAAGCTCTTGGAATTAAAAGCATCATAGCCTGAGTATCTGGTAGAAGAGCCAGAAGACAAAAGTTATGAATATGTGGTCCAGAAAACAGAGGAGACAGTAAGAACAAAAATTAGAGGATTGTCTAGGTAAAACAACATTCAATTTGTAGAAGTTAGAAAAATAAGAAAATGGAGAGGATGAAATTCCCAAAGATGTAACACAGCACATTTACCAGAACCATAGGCACGTGTGTGAGATGGGCCTCTACACACTAGCACCAGGCACCAAGGCAGGGCACGGCCATACCGGAGGAATTAAGGACTGAAAAAGAACATAAAGCCTTCCTGAGGTTGTTTTTAAAAAAGCTAGGTCACACAAAATAGGACCAAAGGGCATAGTCCTCTCAAGGGCAGTGTTGGGTGGTGCAAGACAACGGGGCAGTGCCTCCAACATGCCAGTGCAAAGTACTGAACCTGGAAACCATGGTGAGAGTAGAAAAGGGCCATTTTTAAACAGGCTAAAATCTTGACAAACTTGACTGACAGCCCTCCTTGAGGAACTCCCAGAAAACATATTGCGACAACTGAAGGATCCAGATGTGAAACCCAGGAAGCAGGAACCTGAACCCAGCAGCTGCAGGAAGACAGCTGTGCAGCACACCCAGAGAAGCCAAGGCAGCTGGAGCAGGTGTGGGGGCCGTGGGAAGCTGGCAGGACCACCCACAACCCAAGAGGCCTGCCAGGTGGAGGAAGACTTGGGCACACAAGACAAGTTTTCCTCTGGGGAAAGTGGAAAACTGCATCACCACTTGGCTTAGTCTGCACCAGATACACCCCATGGTGGGCAGCTGTGGGATGAAGGCCCTGGGGGAGTGGCAGGGCAGGCAGGGAGGCCCCGGGTAACGGGCACTGCGGGAAACCACTGTCCTCTGGACTGAGATGCAAGGGTGCAGGGCACAGAGCCGTCTGCAGTGGCATCCTTGACCTTCCGTCAGGCCCGGCAGTCAAGCCGTTCACTCCAGTTACAGATCCTAAGGTGTCACTGCTTTCGGCTGGGCCAGCCACAGATCCGCGTCACCCACCTTATCTTCCCTTTGTGTCTTCAGGCTGTCTGCTTAAATTATTGGTTGGATAGGGAGCAACCTGGTTTCCAATCTGACCCTCAGTACTGTAGGCAGCTGACTCTTCCATCAAAAGCATGTGAACACTGCTTTGGAATCAACATAGACTTTATGGGTGCCCTTCTGGTCCCTGCTTTCTCCAGGCCCTCCTTCAGAACGTTCCCGGCTTACGCAGTCAAACCACGTTCACGTTCAACAGAAGGTAGGATCTGACCATCTTCCTTTTTGGGGAACATTTTCATTTTTCCATTTGAACACAGATGTCGTACTTCTATATGCAGAATCTACATAACATCCTATGGAATGCAACCATCACAGCAAAATCCTACAGAGCCACAAACACAAGCATGAGAGCTGCTGCTAGCCTGGGGTCCAGGCTCCAGGCCGTGTCCCCTCATTCATGTCTGAAGCGCCATGGAACGCCCTGTGGGACAGCAGGCATCTGGCATTGCTGCAGGGCTGTCCGCTTGGTCACTCAGTAGCTGCCCATCCCCTCTACACTGGGGTAAGAGAGCATGGCACGGCCACCCTCTTCGAGCATCGCTGGGTCCCTCCAGCACAAATATTAGACAAATTTGTTGAATGCACTTTTTTGGTGCCTGACCTGAGATTCTGAATTGAAGACAGATTTTTTCTTAAATTGTTTTTATTTCCAAGTGCACTAAAAAGTTAGAGGCATGTTTAAGATAAAGCTAAGGAAAACCGTGTGCATCAACACAGTGAAATGTTAAATGGGGACAGAGGGCACAACTGGTGAGAGCCTGGTACAGGACAGACTGTCACAGGCGAGCCCGAACCACAGCCAAGAGAGGCCGGCCAGCTCTGAAAACACACACGATTCATTAAGCACTAGGCCACTTTATAAATTGAGAACTGTCAACTGGCGACTTTATTTCATATAAAAATTACATTGAGAGAAGAGGTTGAAGTCAAGAGGTGGTTTCGCACACACTCGCCAAGTCTCACAGGGTTCAACCACTTCGGTAATTTTCTAAATTGATAAACAGGATATACATATTAAAAGCCTCATATGGAAGCCCAATACACATGTCCAACCCAGACAAGATGTGCAAATGAATATGCAAAACAATCTCTGGAAATTCCCCGCCCCCTGGTCCCCCACTCCTCTTCCCTCTGGCTGTGACACATCCCATTGCCGGACAGCGCACGCATTTCTGCAGGGACTCAGTCCGTCTCAAAAGCATCCTGTGGCTTTGTCCACGTGGCTCTGAGTGTGTCCCAGCAGGTCCCTTTGTGGCTCTGATCAGCAGCAGCAGAAGCCCTGATTAGGACAGGGCGCAGATTAATTAAACACAGAAACAAAATGGCTCACAGATGAACGGAAAGGCGTGAAGACCAGGAGGGCAACGCCGGCTCTGCTCGGCTTGGGAGGCAGGCGTAAAGGGGACCCCCAGACCGTCGCAGACTGCTTCCTCGTGAGTCCCACAAAGCGTGTGCAGCCCAGGCAAGTTAAGGCGAGTCCCCGAGGAGGGAGCTGTTTGTGTTCTGGCATAATTTTAAGCTCTGTACCAAGGGCCCTATTTCTCATTTGTGACATGGTAGAGAAACAAACATAAATGATAAGAACAACAAAAATCAAGCCATTGCCACCCTGAATATTCTCTGCCGAGTGAGGCATGGAGCCCGGGGCTCGCTGCCTGGGGGTCCTCACCTCAGTACCACCACAGGCCAACACCTATCGCGCCTGGCATTACACTGCTGCTGTGCCAGCCCTTCCTGGCACACCCACCCGCCAGGCTGCACAGAGCGTCAGGCCACCACCAGACTTTGCCCCTCTCTTACTGAGGTGCTGTTTACACGCTGCTAATTTGGCTGGAACAAGAAGTCACTTCCAAGGACCTCATGCACTCCTGATTTTAAAAATAAACTCAAAACAGGAGGCATCGGAGGACCACAGGGGAGTGACTGTTCTTTGGACGAAGACCCTCTCCCACATGCAATACATTCATTCATTCATGGTCGCCCCACATGGAGGCCGCCGCAGCCCCCCTTGTCCCTGAAATGTTGGCTTCTGGAAACAGCTAGTTGGCTGCACACGGCCATCGCACATTACAGCGCCTAGACACACTGCCGATTCTAACACTGTGCACACACACATGCACGCATGCACAGACTTGCCGTGAGGGTGGATGAAGCCCCCGTGTGCTGAGGGTTCCCCCAACACTGACTGCCTTCTGCCCGGTGCATAGGTCCCCTGCAAATTCATGCAACGTGTCAGAGCCGCCCAGAGTGGAGTCATGCGTATGCAAACGCCCCTCCCTCATCAGGAGACACTAAGAACCAGGGTCAACAGACGCCCAGAAACCACCAGTCCAGGAATTCCTGCTCCCTGGCTTAGCTTTTTTCTTCATGACTGAAAAGCTGCTCAGCACACAGGAGTTCAATAGCCCGTGTGACTCCCACACAACTTCTTAGAAAATGCAAAGTATTCCTAACAAGCTCCTAACTGTGCAGGAAGATAGTGACATTTGGCTTCTTCATGTGGCCACATACCTCTTGTTAGTTGTACAGATGAAAACTGGGCAGAGCATCGTCCAGCTGCCAACGTGGAGGATCTGCAACTGTGACTACAAACCGTGCCTGCTGCCACGGCTGCTCTGTGTAGGTTCCATTTGCCCTACTGGTCACAGATGAGCTGGTGGTGCCCTTTCAGACCCCAGATAAATAATTCAAGTCTGTTGATAGGTTCCAGCATGACGGGAGGCCTCAGACAGAGAGTTCCGGGCCTCCTTTCCTGGGTCTTGTTTGCAGCCGCCTAAATCGGAAGCCGACAAAGGGGTTCATCCAGAGGAGCGAGGGGGGCCCCCCGAAGACAGACTTCATCCCTTCCCACCGCAGCCTCCGCTCCCATGTTGGTTTCTCACTTTTCAATCTCTCAATCTCCTGGAAGCAGAGAGAAAAGTGGATGGCAGACAGACACAGGTAGGTTAGACAGAAATGCCACACAGATACAGGTCAGGCCCAGTTAAAGGCGGGAGAAAACCGAGCTTGAGAATCTGGGTCATTTGAGAAGCAGGGGTTCAGGGGAACTGTGGGCTGCTGGTGGTTGGCAGAGTAAACGCTCCTTCCCCCCGCCCTCCAGCCTCCCCGAGCACAGCCTTCTGGCCAGACCAACATCTGGAACAGTGGGCAGCAGTTGGGCAGGGGGAGCTGGTCTTCTGGGCCAGGGCTCCAACCTTTTTGTCATTTACTACAAATACTTACGGAGCACCTACTTAGACCTAGTTCAAAGGCATGAAGGTGATCGATTCCCTTCAACTCCCTAAGCTGCTCCGGGGGCTTGGTCTCCTAGAAACTGGGAATTTGCAGGGCTCTTATCTGCTAGGCTCTATCTGCCTGGCTCTGTTGACTCAACTCAAGCTGGCACTTGAAGTACGCATTGTGCCTAATGACAGGAATGACATACAGTGAACCTGCCGGAGCTTAACAGCCTAATTAATCTCCTAAGTTAATACACAAGCACCCATTGTTGACACTAGCATTTCCCATTTACTCTAGCTTTGGCCAAATAGTAAGCAGACACAGCAGACAAGAACACATACCGTTTCGTCATTGCATATTGAGTGGATTTGGGTGCCAAACATAACTGCAGTGAAAGTGAAAAACAGAAGACCCTCAAGGCACAGGAAGATCAACAAGATGACAGTTATTGGAGGTGAAAAGTCACTGCATTCTGTGAACAAGAGAAAGTTGGTTGTGACTGGGCGTCAGGGCATAACAAATATCCCAAGGTGTAGATGTCACAGTGCGTAGCTCACAGAGGAACCCTCCCGGGGCAGCCCTGAGCCAGCTTCGATTTTGTGAATAGGGACATTCATTCACCACCCAAGGGTGGAGGTGGTCAGCACCTCCAAGCAAAACTCCACGCCACCATCTCCTAGCCTGCACTTCCAAAAGAGTCTGTATCACCTAATGTTTCTGTTAAGTCTGCAGCTGTGTATCAAACTGTTGATGAAAATGCAACCGGAGCCAGGAAAGAAGAGAGGAACATGTACCTCCGCGTGCCAGGGCTGGGTCGGATCGGTCTGCCCTGACTGCTTATCAGGGCTGGAAAGTTAATGCCTACTTGAGATACACCTGCTAGCGTCTATGTGTACTTAGTATTGAGAGGACCGCTTCGTGTGGCGCCTGGCTGCCCGACCAGAAAACAAATGCAAGGCTTGGCAGGAGCAATATTAATTCCCACCCAGCCTCCAAAGTCTTACAACTAGTAGAAGGTATTGATTAAGGAAGAACAATTATATATGACTTTGTTACACTAGCAAAGTGGCAGTGTTGAAGTTTATCCATGATCTTTTCTGAAAACGTCCAATTAATTCCTAAAATTGAGGATTTCCTTCAAAATTAGAAAATCAATTCTTCCTTTACAGCTTTCCCTTTTTCACCTGACAGCAAGCACTTCTAGGAAAGGCACACCACCCAAGCTTACCGGTCCACTGCCCTCGGACACAGGAAACGAACTGGAGTCCGCAGAGAATCAGGGCGTGGACTGAAGACAGGGCTATGTACATCTGGAACAGGGAGAAGGCGGTGAGCGGATACGCATTTCTAGGACCTAAGCCACTGAAATTTATGTCTGCTCTTCCGCTCCGTTTGCTAGTGAAAATCAGTGAGGAAAGGATTCAATCATACAGTTGATACCTGCTCACCCAAGATCACACTGGACCGGGTGAAACAATTTTATAGGAAAACATGCAGGAGGAAAACAAATTCCCACACCCTTCAGCAAGATCCTATCAGCAGGTTCAAGGCATCGGAGAGAAGTGAACCTCAGAGAAACACTGAAAGTTAACAGGAGCTGCGCACAGTCCTCTGCCGGACCCTTCCTAGGAATGACAGCACTGGTTCATAATGGGAGCCCAGGAGAGGTGGGAGAAACTGTTCTGGCGCCAGAATAAAGTTACCTGCCCCAGGCAAGACTCTAGCTAAAGGCCTCAGAGCTCAACAGACGGGACCATACGAGGGTTTTACTCACAGTGAAGAGCACAAAAAACCTCTGGTTCTTCTCTCCCACACAGTTGTTCACCCACGGGCAGTGATGGTCCATTTTCCGAATGCATCTCTTGCAAATACTGAAAGGAGGGGTTTGATGTCGGTGCTCCACGCGCTAAGGAAAGCACCCCCCGCCCGGGGGGCCTGTGCCGGGCCTCCGGCCGGGAGGGCGCTACCTGCAGTGGTGGGCGCGCTCCGGCTTGATGCAGCAGCACTTGGGGCACTTGTAGACCACCTCTCCCGGCTTCAGCTGCAAGCTCTCCATGTACTCTTTAGTGGCGTTTCCTTTCGGTACTGCCCCCTACAGTTTGATAACAATGCATTTGGGTTGAGTACAAAGGTGAAAAAAAGCCAATAAATGTGGGAATTCGCCTTAGATTTTAGGTATCATGACATAATTTGTAACGCTGTGATTGCCACAAGTATTTTAATATGTTACTCAGGCAGGACCAGAAGGTTTATTTTCCATGGCAAATACCATATGCCTTAAAATGAACTCAAAATAAATACCTTATTCATAAACTGGTAAGTCACCTGAGTTTCTCCACCTTAACACAGGTCACCCGCAAGGCAAGGCCCGTTTTTTAAGCGTTCCAACTGCAGGGCAGCTGACAGTCCCCAAAGGTGCCAGTCCATCCTGCCACCGCCCTCTCTCCCTTTCCCCCCACTGATGGGCGTGTCTGCCAGGCGCTGCACCATTTCCTATCGCTGCAGCGGGGCAATGCTGAACAATCTCAGAAAGTTCTTTCATGCAGGTTGTTAGAGCTGGGCGCATCGGTCTCTGCCAACCCAATCAAGAGCACCCCCATCCAGACCTGGGAAGTGTGGCCCTGGCACCTGAGCCGGGTGCCTGGCAGGGGCTGCCAGGCAGTGCCAGTTAGGAGAGGAGAGCCCAGGGCACCGGTGGGCTGCCTCTGAGGGCTGCACCCCTGGAGGCCAGTAGGAAAGTGAGGCTGAGCTGGCTGTAGCAGTGGACCCAGGCAATGACAACCATGCTTTGGAAGGTGGTTCTAAGAGTTGTGGCTGTGACTAGAGTGGCCTGGGGAGGCGTTCTACGGTCTCCCCGTCGGGAACAAGGCCTCCATCCATCTCCTAGCTGGAGGCCCTTTGTGTAGAAGGAGCCCACCCAGCACTTGAGCAGTGCAGGGGTAACAGAGCACCAGGAGGTGGCAGGTAGGAGCCAACAGCCCCAGGAGATGCAAGGGGAGGGGGGGCAGGAGACTGCTGGGGGCCGGAGCCAGAGGTCTGAACCTCTGTGTAATGAGGGCAGAATCCAACTTTGAATGAGCCCAGGAGGTGAGTGCCCAGGCTGGAGACTGAGAACGCTGCTCCGGGCCCACGGGGGGCCAGTCTCAAAGTGTGCCCCTGCAGGGAGCGAGGCCCACAGGGGGCTCCCCAGAAGTGGGGACAGAGGGCACCGTGGGCAGAATGTGAATGTCAACGCCCACCCTCCCCTGCAGCGTCCTTCCCTCCAAGCCAGGACCAAGCTCCCTCACTGTCCCAACACGGGGACGTTTTCTGCTCAAGATCCTAGCATTTCCTAACACTCAAACCGTCTGCTTTAAAAAGGTAAAAAAGTTAAGGGTTTAAAGTATTTTGTTTTTGAAAACTTAAATCTGAATGTTAGGTAAAACATTTTACTTAATTTACATACCACAATCTGCAGTCTTTAATCAAGTTTCCTCTACCGATCCAGGAGCGTCAGTGCTGTAACAGTTTTTAAGTCCCGTCATGCATACACACTCCTGATGACAGCTTAACGCTGCACATTTCCACAAGAGGAAATGAGCCAGACTTTGAAACTTAATTTTTTATGAGACACATGTGCTTTTCCACAGTACATAGATAAAACAGACTTCTGGAAAGCAGAACACCCTACACTGGCCATTTTTTAAGAGCTCTCTTAGGACTGTTTACGGAGGAAAGAAGCATCTCTCAAAGGGGTAGCCAATCAAACATCAGGTGATACTTAAGGGGCCCGCGTGGGGTCACAGCAGTGGTGACCTGCTCTGATCCAGAGTCTGTCTTGGTGTGTCACCCAGCAGACACCAAGCAGGAGGGCTGGCACCAGAGCCGCCTTGTCGGCACCACAGACCCTGCCCGGCCACACCTGGCGCAGAGTGGGGGGCCGCTCCATTCCCGCAGAAGACGCTGCAGAGCTCAGGCACATTGCTCATGCTCACACTCCCGCTTTAACCATCTTCAGGGACCGTCCTTCCTAAAATGTGCCTTGTGTGTCTCATACCCATGTCCCCAGGACGTGGTCCCCAGCCCCAGGCCACAGACATGCCCTCGAGCTCCTTCCTACCTGCAAGCGGTGCACAGCGCTCCCCTCCTGAAGCGTGTTCTGGCGGCCTTCTGATTTCCTGCTGCCTCTCCTGGAGCCTGATCTCTCGTGCCCCCCACACCCACCTCTCACACGCCTCGGAGGAGGGAAGCGCTCTCAACCCCTCCACGCGGCCAGGGAGGTCATGCCTTGCAGAGCACACTTCTCTTTCATCTCTTCCCCCGTATCTTCCCATCTTGTCCCCCGACTCACATCCAGAATGTCACATCTTCTGGGTCCCTGGGACCTGACCAAGGGCTGGCTAAGGAGACCTCCCCTATATCTACCTCCTAATTTATGGGAACACGGTACAAGGAGTGTGTCAGGACACACAGGAGTGCAAGCTGAACACTGAAGCTACAACGAGGAACTGTGTTTCTCCAAATACCAAAATCTCAAGAGAAAAAGAGACCACAGAGGTTGAGACATGTCAAACAACCAGAGCACAGACCTCACTTGGATCCTGATTCCAATACAGAAGAATGTAAAGGCCCATGACAGGCAGGAGCCCTGAGCTCTACCCGGACAGGCGGCGGGGGGCCACTCAGTCACTGTACGCCAGCCACTGGGATCGCGGCTGTGCTTTATTCAGACAGAGCCCTTTAAAGATGCACACAGGCATTTGCAAAGAGTTACTGTGTCTGCAGTATACTTCCAAGCGCTCTGGAGGGGGAGCAGGCGGAGCAGGTGGGGTGTCTGACGCAAGGCTGCCCAGGAGACGGTCGCTGGATTCCTAACAGTTCTCTCTCTACTTCTGTGTATATTTGAAATGGGCTCTAAGAAGGTAACAAATAGGCTCTGGTAGCAGACAAATCTTGTTCAAATCCCTCTCTGGTTCTTCTGGCTGGGGGGAAGGAAAGACGCCGGGGCAGAACCCAGGGCCCCACAGCAGGCTCCCTTCCTCAGCACACGCCATGCGTCTGCTGAGAAGGCTGATGTTCCTAAAACAAGGCTGGGGACTCAGCACAGGCTTTGGGTGAGGGTCTGTGGGCCCTGGGGGCGGGGGGGCAGCCTTTCTCAGTCACTTGTCCTTCCTCAGGGTTGCCCAGCGTTCAGGTTGGTGGCGTCCCCTCTTCCAACAGTGGGGCTTGCTGCCTTCCTGTCAGATCTCTGACCCACCCAGCGCGGCGGCCCTTCTGCCTTCCTGCTCCTCAAAGTACCCATGACTTTCCTCCACAAAAACACCAACCGGAGCCAATCCTGGTGAAGGCTGACTGGTCCCACTGGTTCAGTGAGAGCACATGACGTCCCAGAGGGGTCTCTGCCCTGCTCTGGGGGCATCACGGCTCTGGACTGGAGCTGGAAAGCCAGGTTGTGATCTGTAGTGAGAAGAGAGCAAACTCTCGCTGAGGGGACAAACCGGGTACCTGACCCTACCTGGCACACAGTCTTCAGAGATGTGGTTTGGTGACTTAATGCATCGAATTCCATCCCGCCTGTGGGGCTGCCGTGTCTCACAAGGTGGCAGGGGGAGCCAGGACGCTGTGGGAAGGACAGGCTGCCCAGGGCACAGCGGACGCCATGGAGCCACCACTCTCTGCCGTCGGCCTCTAACGGAGCCCCAGTCCAGCCCCACAGCCTGCCAGGGGCTGGGCGCTTCCTGGCCCTGAGTCTCCTCAGTTCCACTGACACCGACTTCCACTGGTTTCTGTAACTTGCCAGCAGAGTCCTAACATTTGGCCAGTGACACACAATGGACAAAGGACTTGAGTGGACATACCTCCAGACAGATGGCCAATGAGCACACGAAAAGGGGCTCAATGTTATGAGTCACTAGGGAGATGCAAATCAAAGCCTTGGTGAGACACCCCTCCACAGCCATTAGGATGGCCGTGATCTAAGAGACGGACAGGAGCACGGGGATGTGGGGGAACTGGAGCCTTCACACTGCTGGTGGGAATGTAAAATGGTGCAGCCACTGTGGAAGTTCCTCAAAAAGTTAAATCTAGACTTACCATGTGGCCCAGCAGGTCCACCACTAGGTATACAGACAAAAGAAATGAAACATATATACACATAAAAACTTGTAAATGAATGTTCATGGCAGCAGCATCCTCAAGAGCCAGAAAGGGGAAACCACCCAAAGGTCCATCGACTGATAATAAGTGTAAAAAAGTGTCCGTCCACACAGTGGAATATCACTCAGCCACAGAAGGAACAGAGTCCTGACCCGCAGTGCGGCGTGGATGAGCCTGGAAAACATGCTGCGTGAAAGACGCCAGACACACAAGGCCACACGTGGTAGGGTTCCCCTCATTAAACGTCCAGAACGGGCAGATCCATAGCAGGCTGGAGGGTGCCCAGGGCTGGGGAGGGCAGGGCTGGGCAGCAATGGCTAAGGGGACACGAGTCCTTTCCAGGTTGACGAAATGTCTCCAAACGGGCTGTGGCGTTGGCTGCACAGCTCTGAGTATACTAAAACCCGCTGAGCTGTACTCTAGGAGCAGGAGCTTTGCGGCACATGAATTAAATCTCAGTCACAGCCGCTGGCAGCCAACGCCCCCACCCCCCTGCAGCACTCCCAGTGATCCCCAGAGCGGAGGGGCGTCCCGCACACATTCACCCCACACGTTGCCTCCCCAGCTCTCGGCACTTCCTGGAAGTTTTGAGGCCTTTTCGTGAAGGCAGGGGGCGGTGCCAGGAGCTGGACTGCAGGGGTCAGCAACAGGGTTTGGTTACCGGAGGAAGGCTTTGTGCGTAGCAGGAAACGAGAAGAGGGCCCTTTAGAAGCCTAAGGGACATCAGAGTGGGTTTCGGTCACAGACTGCACAGCAGGGGATGCTACAAACCACCAGCAGACCCCACTTCTGAGTTTGTCCCCAAGGTGCTGTCCCTGCTGCCTGGCTGCCTGGGCCTGTCATACTGTCCCACACCTGAGAACACTCCTAGGCAGACAGGGCAACAGAGGGAACGGGGGAGGGCAAACCCCTGTGATGTGCTCTCAGACACAGCCATCGGGTGAGTCAGGACCATCAGCTTCAGTTTATTCTCAGAGTCCTAATCTTATTTATAAAAGGGTTGTACAGTTGATCCTTCAACAACATGGGTCTGAACTGCACAGGTCCACTTGTACATGGATCTTTTCCCAATAAATATAGTGGAGAACTTTTTGAAGATTTACAATTTGAAAAACCTTGATGACAAATCGCATAGCCTAACAAAACACCAAAAAAAATTTAGATAAAGGTATGTCATGAATGTATACAATGTGTACATACTAGTGTACTTTATCATTTACTACAATAAAATCGACAGGAGACTATGAGCAGTTAAGCTTTGGGGCAGTCACATTATATATAGATTTTCAGCTGTGTGTGGGCCTGTACCCCGACCCCCGTGTTGTCCAAGGGCCACTGTACAACAGAGCTTTAACTTCTTTAGAGGCAGCTTACCAACCACTGTGGGCCCAGCAGATTCTACTGCTCACATCAGGAGCCTGTACCTGTGGCTGTGGCAGGAACCTTTCTAAGTGACACTCCCCATGGGCTCTGGCCCCTAAGGTGCAGGTGGGACCTCTTCCCTGGGCCTGCAAGCTGCCCCCCAACCCTGCAAGGCAGCCCTAGCACTTTCTCCAGGCTCGGGGGCGAGTTGGATCCACGGTCTGAGGGAACTTCTGACTGAGCCCAGAGGACCTGTGCTGCCTCACCGAACCACACAGAGGAAGTCTCACACCCAACGCAGAGGTTCTGAACCCAGTGGCTTTTGAGCTCTCAGGAACCAAGGGCAGTCCCTGCCCATCTGCCCGCCAGAATGAGATGTTGGCTTCAGACTTGAGCTGAGACAGAAAAACTAGGGAATTACAAAGCTAGAAAGAACTTGGAAATCATATCTAACCTTCAGTCCAAAGAAATTAGGTCAGTTGCTTATGATCAAAAGACAACTGAAAAGATTAAAGTGGTGAAATCTACAACCTCAATCTCTCAGTCTGCAGTCTGTTCTTTAGAGAAAAAATATTTAGGAGGGGTTTTAGAAATTATTCAGTATAATCTCTTCATTTGAATAAACAGCCCAGTAGGATATCTTCCATTAACATGCTGTGGTATAACTTCTATGTGACTGATGTTTATTTCCAGTTAAGACTTGAAAAATGTTACAAGTCTGTATTCAGGAATCAATAAATTCCTGAGGCTCCAGGAGCGAGTGGGCCACATGGTCTGTGGGGCACATGAGAGCACGCACAATGGAAACCCTGGTGCCAGGGCGTACTCACAGGGTCGGTGAGCATGGTTCTCAGGTGGGACGACAGGGCCAGCACCGCTAAGCAGTTGAAGACAACGCCGTTGGCCACGGCGTACCAGAAGTCTTTGGAAGGCAGCAGCATGACAAATGTCACCACGAAGTCCGCATAGACAACGAGAAGCCAGGTCATGACGGCGCAGACCATCCCACAGCCGTCGCGAATGAACCAGACCCCGTCTGCCACGCCAGCCTCAGACGAGGAGGAGGACGAAGAGTCATAACTGTCATTTTCAGTCAGGAGAGGATGATGTTCGACGTCTCGGAGCCGGTGTCCTGATGACGGCATGATTTCCCTGACGCACCCTAGAGGAAGATTCAACACAGGTTTGCTCAACTGCCACCTTGCATGCACCTGTTAGTTTGCCCCTGGCTGTCTCATAACGATAGCAGAAAAGAACACAACATTTAGTTAAGATCTGAGGTTCTGTGTCTTTCACCCTTACTGTCTGTCTACAGCACAATAAACCCCAGAGTATGGGCCATGCCTAGATATATGCAAACTGTCACCACGGCTGGCCATAGCCAGAGGGGCAAAGACAGTGAGAACACGCTGGACGGAAACCGCAGCATGGCAGCTATCCACGTCGCCAAGCCCCGGCCGCTGCCTGCCGAGGCCCACGGCTCCCCAAGCGCTCCAGAGCAGATCGCTCAGCATGGCCCCACCGGCGCGAGGAGAGTGAGGGATCTACGAACACCAGCAGACCTCGCTTTACTGGACTAGGCGGGTACTGCATTTTTCACAAAAGGAAGGCTTGTGGCGACCCTGCGTCCAGCAGGTCTATTGGCACCATTTTTCTAACAGTATTTGCTCACTTTGAGTCTGTGCTACATTTTGGTAATCCACACAGTATTTCAAACTTTTTCATTATTGCATTTGTTGCAGCGATCTACAGTCAGAGATGATGACTTGCTGAGAGCTCAGATAATAGCATTTTTAGTGATAAAGTATTTTTTAATTATGGTACAGACACTGCTTTTTTAGACATAACGCCATTGCACACTTAACAGACTACAGTATAGTGTCAGCATGTAACTTTTACATAACTGATTTACTGTGCTGGTCTGACGCTGAACCTGCGTAACTCCAAGGCGCGCCTATTTTACCCTACTCAGTTCTACGCTGGCCCCAGACATCGGGCTTAGGGTTCCTACCTACTTTCCTCCATTTGATTCTCAGCTCACTCTCATTTCTCTCACATTTTAACCCTGATAACCTGTGACCACGTTTTTGTGGCAGGCTCTCATTCTCATCTTTGCCTTCTCCAACTCTGTACTGTTTCTGGAATGCTCTTCCTTGCTATTTTAATCTTTTAAGCTTCCTCTTTAACCCACACTTTGTTCAGCCATTTTCTTAACACCTTTCCCATATTTCCTAAAATTCCCATTATCTGAGAATGTACAGAGTCTGAAGAAACTAAAGAAACTTGCACTTTTTTCCCTGTAACTGCTTTGACTGTTTCCTTAAATGTATGCCCCTCTCTTCACTGTAACAGTAATTCCATGATAAATAAGGACAAGGGAACTAAGAGAGTCAGAGTCACTTGGCCTCAGCATTCATATGAGGGATAGAAAAATGCTAGGTCATTTATCAAATGACCCAAGTGCCTTCTCAGTGCAGGAGCCCAGACAAGTACCGGGGGAGACGGTGGCCTCCCCGAGGCTCCCCAGGGTGGAGGGGCAGTGGGAGGACAGTGGCCCTGAGGCTGGGCCTGCTGCAGCTGCTAACAGCAGCCTTCCATGCTGGGAGCGACCTTTCATTATTTCTTAAATGCAGCTGGAGCAAAGTCATGAAAACATTTATGGAATGAATGAACTTGTTGATGAGAGGTCAAAATATTTTTCAGAAATCCCCCTTAACATAAAAATAATGACTGGTACATGAGAGAAATGAAATTGTTCCCTACAGTCAGTGAAATAACTTTACATTTTTAAAAAGTGAAATAAGTGAAACTAAAGATAAAAAGAATTTGGGCAGATCTAACAGGCACTCTGTCAGCGAGCACGTGCTGTACCCTACGTCACCCAGACCTGCCTGCCCACCTCCCCCTGCAAACGCCTCGGCTGAGTCTATTCCTGTGTAAACCCCACTCGCCCTATGGGGGCTACAGTTTCTCCCTTCCAAGCAGCCATCCTGAAGAGACAGTTCTCCTTCCCCTGAACAGCACTCTGGAAAGGGTTTCTGAACATACGATGTGAGTCTCTGGAGGGGGTGGTGGACACTGCCGCCTGTAACGCCGGAAGGGCCTGGGTCTGTTGTCAGGGGGCCGAGACAGTAACTGGCAGTTTCTCTGCCTCCCGTGGGCCCTCAGGGCCGCGTGTAGGTCCCTGCAGCACACTCACTGCTCCACCCTGAGGAGCACCCATGGTCACCCCTCCCTGAGAGACTGCAGTCCCTCATGGGCAGGGTCCAGTCTTCTCCCACGTTCCCCTTCCAGGCCTGCAGGCTGCTGTGCCCACAGCAAGCACATGTTTGTTCACAGGCAAACGCAACACCTAGAAGCTGGTCCTGCTCTCCGATCCAAATACTTTCCTAGTCATTTCCCCAGAAATGTCTTAGTGAATCATAACTGTACATCAGGCCTTAAGCTGAAGAACTCCACCAGAATCCCTTTTTGGTTTTATGGTTATCCCTCAGGCAGGACACTTTCTGTGTGAAGCAGGTGCTTGCCGGCCAGCCTTAAGATGGTAAATTACACAGCCACGTGTCTGGGCCAGGCTAGCCTCTCGTCAGAGCGCATGGGGGCGGCCCGAGTTCCTTCTGGAAGGTAGGACCCCGCAAGCCTTCTAAAGGCGCACGCGCTGAACACCTAGGCCAGTTCGGCCTCACCTTCCAGGTGGAGGTACTGGTGAGAGATGCCAGAGAGCAGGCTGCGGCCCTGTGGGGGTACACCTGTGCCCGCGGAGGGTGCAGGTGGCAGCTGTGCTCACGCAGAAAGCCTAGCCACCTGGACACCACACACTGGGTGTGGGGTGACATGCCCAGACATGCGTGTTAGCGCGCTGATGCGTCATCTTATGTGCTTTAGAGCCAAATTTAGAAAATACCCTAGAAGGCAATGGGAAAATAATCTGACATCAAAGGGCATTTTATCAAGAAAGAAACTGGTGCACAGAGCAGTTAGGTGGACAAATGCAGGTGTCTGTGACAGGCTGCTGAGCATCCTCTGCATCACCATATTTACACAGTTGCAGATGCAGCAGGAAGGGCGGGGAGGAAGTGGGGAAATAGCCCCTTCCCACTGCACTGACCCCCTCTGGGAGCCGGGGCACGTGGCATGGCAATTTGCAGGGCAGTGCCAAAATGGACAGGCTCGTGGGCATAAGGGGCAGTCTCGTTTTATGCCAAATACCCACTGCCGTCGATTTCACACCTGGAAGGCCATTCTGAGGGGACCCGGAAGCCCTCGGCTTCAGCTGACGGTTGCACACGTCCCGGCATCATTCTTCTACTTTAATGGCCAACTTAATAGGACTTTGTCTACACTCCTGAACCTAAGTTGTTTCTGCTCATGTTAAAGAAGGTCCCCTTTCCCCAAACGCTACAAGTGACAAGATCCCCATTATTTACTTAAGGGACAACCATATGAGCAAAATCTCTCCATTATTTGCACTTGAGCGCTCCCCTCGCCCTGTGATACTTGCTAATGACTTCTTATTTCCCCAGAAACTCCTTCCCCAGAGGTCACTCTGCATTCAGGGTGGGCGGCAAGCAAACCAAAGACAACAGGCGCAAAGCAAGGTGCAGCGGCCGCCACCTGGGCACAGTGAGCACAAGTCAGTGCCCACTGTCAGCGGGCAGCAGTGAGCACACACCTAGGGCATCCCACTCTCACCTCACAGATTACTTCCAAACATTACTTGGACATTTTGCGCCTTTTCTTCAGGATCTTAATGTGCATACTGTCCTGTGTGACAGGATCTGAAAGAAAATAAAATCTGATTAGAAAAGTTATTTATTTTTATGACAAAAGTGGGTAATATTTCTTAGGATATATAACCAAAGTGACATCTTACACATCAAGCTCTGTTACTTGGAATGATCCTTCACTAGGAAATCATTGCTCCTCTGGGTTTTTCATTACTAGTAAACTAACTGACAATCATGAAAAGCAGGTAATGTAGTTTAAATGTGTCCTTTTTACCCTCCTGCTAATTGGAGCCCTAGTGTTAAATAAACCAAGTGTTAAGTAAACCAAACCCATTGGGAAAGATTTCTAGGGCTAATCCAGGCCAAATCTAGTCAGCCTGCATTTTAAAAGCCAACAGCTGTTTTACTGGCCACAGCAGAGCCATTACAGGAAAGATGGGGAACAGGGAGAGAGAGACACAGGTACACACCAAGAGGTGAGAGACACTGGACGGAGAACAGGAGGTCCGGCTGCAGGAGGAAGCAAGGTGCAGGAAGAGCCTGGGACCCAGTGAGGTCCACCTACTGAAGGAGAACCTCCCCGTTTGCATCTCCCATTGGGCGCCCAGGCCACTGGTAAGTGGGCGAGCAGATGCGGCCTCTCCAGAAGCACCTGTGTGGCCCGAGAGGAAAGGCCTAAAGATACCAAGACGCGGGGGATCCCCAAGAAAGAGGTCACAGTCACTGCCAGGCCTGCTGACGACAAGCTGCCGGAGGACATCCTGCCAGGGACAGAGCAGCTTGGCACTGCTCATCCTTAAACATGGGCAGGCAGCCAATGGTCAGATGTTTGTTTCAAAGCCATCTTCACAGTCTTTATTTCTAGCATAAACCCTTCCATACGATTTTCTTAAGCTGTCCATTTTTTCCGGTCTTATTGAAATACAGTTGACAGACATCATGTATAAGTTTAAGGTGGACAACATTATGCTTTGACTAACATGTAAGTCAGATGTTCTGAAGAAAGCCCAGGGCAGGTCTCACGGACGGAGTCCCACAAACGGGGGAAAAAGGAACTGAGAACAGGCAAAATGCACGGAGGAGAAAACAGAAGCAACGAGAGATAGTGTCTGTGGAACAAAAGAGGAACATTTTGAGAACTTCCTAGTGATTAAGAAATAAGAATGATGGTAGAATTAGAAAAAGTATTTTAAGTAAGGCTGGATGAGTGAGGAAATTTCCCTGAAAGCAGAACTAAATGGCAAAGAGAAAGACCTTAGAAGAGAAAATAAAACAGAATTAGAGGATTGGCCCAGGAGGTTTGTCTTCCAAACATCAGGAGGCCCGCAAAGCGCCCCACCCCTGAACAACACTGCTGTTTTTATCCGATATCCTTCCAATATATTGTTTTTCTGCTTAAGTGAACCTCCAGTTGGTATGTTTTTGAAACCAGAACACCAGGAGGCTGGCCAAGGAAGAGGGTGAAGGGCAGGAGCCTGGGGGGATCACAGGGGGCCGGGTAAGCTTCCTAGTTGCTGCCAACATATTCCGGTGTTCCTCCAGGACCCGCAAGCAGCCCACTGCTCCTGTCTCGTCTGCCCCGCCTCTGCCAGGCCAGGGCCACCAGCGCCCACAGGGCTCCTCTGCGGAGGGCTCTCAGCACTCTCCCACCCCCACCCACTGGCCGACGGCTCCCTAGCGCATTTCCAGCTGAGTCCCTCCAGGACTTCTCAGGAGCGAGTGTGGCTCTGAATCCCACGCTGCTTGAACTACAGGAGACGGCTTTTCAATATGGTATATTTACACAAAGTAACTTTATTCAAACGTCTATGTCACAGCCAACAACTTTAAATGCCTGATAATATTTTGAAGTGTTTTCAAAGGAGCATAAATTAACAGTGTTTTAAAATAAAACCAGCTTTGCAAAATATAAGACTGCCAATCACAGACATCACGTTTACAGTAGAATTTCAACAATGAGACCAAAGCCCCAGTTACTTTTTATAAATTTTAAAAAGTAACACACACAGCAACCATTTCAGTCCTGCTGACGACAAGCTGCCGGAGGACATCCTGCCAGGGACAGAGCAGCTTGGCACTGCTCATCCTTAAACATGGGCAGGCAGCCAATGGTCAGATGTTTGTTTCAAAGCCATCTTCACAGTCTTTATTTCTAGCATAAACCCTTCCATACGATTTTCTTAAGCTGTCCATTTTTTCCGGTCTTATTGAAATACAGTTGACAGACATCATGTATAAGTTTAAGGTGGACAACATTATGCTTTGACTAACATGTAAGTCAGATGTTCTGAAGAAAGCCCAGGGCAGGTCTCACGGACGGAGTCCCACAAACGGGGGAAAAAGGAACTGAGAACAGGCAAAATGCACGGAGGAGAAAACAGAAGCAACGAGAGATAGTGTCTGTGGAACAAAAGAGGAACATTTTGAGAACTTCCTAGTGATTAAGAAATAAGAATGATGGTAGAATTAGAAAAAGTATTTTAAGTAAGGCTGGATGAGTGAGGAAATTTCCCTGAAAGCAGAACTAAATGGCAAAGAGAAAGACCTTAGAAGAGAAAATAAAACAGAATTAGAGGATTGGCCCAGGAGGTTTGTCTTCCAAACATCAGGAGGCCCGCAAAGCGCCCCACCCCTGAACAACACTGCTGTTTTTATCCGATATCCTTCCAATATATTGTTTTTCTGCTTAAGTGAACCTCCAGTTGGTATGTTTTTGAAACCAGAACACCAGGAGGCTGGCCAAGGAAGAGGGTGAAGGGCAGGAGCCTGGGGGGATCACAGGGGGCCGGGTAAGCTTCCTAGTTGCTGCCAACATATTCCGGTGTTCCTCCAGGACCCGCAAGCAGCCCACTGCTCCTGTCTCGTCTGCCCCGCCTCTGCCAGGCCAGGGCCACCAGCGCCCACAGGGCTCCTCTGCGGAGGGCTCTCAGCACTCTCCCACCCCCACCCACTGGCCGACGGCTCCCTAGCGCATTTCCAGCTGAGTCCCTCCAGGACTTCTCAGGAGCGAGTGTGGCTCTGAATCCCACGCTGCTTGAACTACAGGAGACGGCTTTTCAATATGGTATATTTACACAAAGTAACTTTATTCAAACGTCTATGTCACAGCCAACAACTTTAAATGCCTGATAATATTTTGAAGTGTTTTCAAAGGAGCATAAATTAACAGTGTTTTAAAATAAAACCAGCTTTGCAAAATATAAGACTGCCAATCACAGACATCACGTTTACAGTAGAATTTCAACAATGAGACCAAAGCCCCAGTTACTTTTTATAAATTTTAAAAAGTAACACACACAGCAACCATTTCAGAAAGCCATCTGGCACTTTCTAAAAGTTAAACACCTACCCTATGACTCCACAATTTCACTTCTAGGTATTTGCCCACGAAAAATGAATATGAACACAGAACATGTTCAAGACTGTCCAGAGCAGCTTTATTCATCACAGGTCCCGAACCAGAAAGAACCCAAATACCCATCACCAGGAGACTGTTAGACAAACTATGGTATATTGACAAACACGCACGCTTCTCAGCAAAAATGGGGGCAACAATTACAGATACATGCGACAACCCGGACGAACCTCACAAATGTTATGCTAAGAAACCAGACATGGATGAGTGCATACGGTGCAAGTCCACCTACACGGCATCTCTATCAGGCAACACTGACACATTCTGAAAGAAATGAGAATGGGCCTGAGCACAGGGCACGACTGAGAAGGGCCCTCCAGTAATTTCCCAGGGGATGGAAATGCCTCCTTCCTGACAGGAAAGTGGTTCCACAGGCAGATGCACCTTCAAAACAAAACTCAAACGAGCTGTTGAGAAGAACGAAATAATGAAACATACACGTAAAATGGTGCATTTCATTATATATATATTAGTTATGTCTCAATAAAAAATGGGCAGGAGAAAACATAACTGGTGCAATTGTGCGCCAGGTACGTAAAAGGTAAAGAAAGGTGCAACCGCAGGCACGTGTCTTGCACCTTGCTCACTTTCTTAGGTTTAACAGAAAACGTATTTTTCAAAAGCAAATGGAAAATGAATAGGAAACAAAACCAGTGTTTCAAAAATAAAACAATTGTTTTATTTTAAAAAGTTGTTAAAATAAGGAAACTGTGTTTTTTGGTGATCAGCTACCACACACACACACAAAACCTAGATGCAACGGTTTTCCATTAGGGCAATAACAAGACTGTCTATGCTACATGTTTATATTCAAAGGCTGTTGAAACTCATCATGCATTATTATGCATATACCCACCGAAGAGCTTTTAAAAGCAGAAATAAGCAAATCTCGGCTTCAGGTACAGAAGTATATGCAGCTAGCCACAGGAGATCTATTCATCAAGCATGGAGAGGGGGCCCTGGGATGCACAGCCACACAGTTGCTCACAAACCAGCAGAGGTGGGAATCAGCATTGTAAGAAATGTGCTAACGTTACCCCAAATTAGGAGCACAGTGTCAGAGGGAGAGAAAAGCCACAGCCCGCTGTGTCTGGAGGAACCAGAGAAGGGTCAGTAAGGAAGGCAGCACGGCAGGTCCTGCTGACCAGGAGGGCGGTGTGAGAGGCGCAGAGGCAGGCAGGGCCTGGCGGCAAGGGAAGTGTCCCCGAAAGGATAGACTGGAGGACGACGCAAAGCGCTCTGAACACCAAGCTAAGGAGTCTGCGCTCAAGCGGCTGGAGTGGAAGGCACCACAACTTTGGCAAAAACAGATGTTTCAAAAATAATAACTGGTAACAAAGGGCAACTAGGAACAAGGAGTTGGATGGGCAACCAGGGGGCTGCCGCCACCACGGAGGGTGGAGATGATGGAGCCGGGGCTGGAGGGGCTCAGGGGCCTAAAGGAGAGCGGAACCGTGGCCAAGGCCGCAATGGCGAGCACAGCATGGGACGGAGAGGGGCCGGGGAGCACTCCTGCCCAGCGGCCCCGTCACAGACCTCGGGGCTGCTGAAGCATCAGTGCGCTGGGATGCAGCTGGGGAATAAACAGGCAGTTCAGCGGCAGCTGGTTACCTGGCCTCCTCCAGCCCCTGGCGCA